TTATTCTCTGATAGATTTACTGTATTAAAGCCTGACTTTTTGCTGTGAAGCCATATAGCTAATGTGTGCTGAACGTGGTATGTAAAAACAGTTTTTTCTTAGTGAAAACGTAAAGATTCATATAAAAATTAAAATAATTTAAATTTACACAATTTCTGGTTTAATAAGCGTATTTCATTAATTTCACTCCAAGCAAGGGGATAAAGCCACTAAGATGTAAGGCGGTTACTGTGTGTCAGAGAATGCGAGAAAAAAAACAACATGATTAAGAACAATAAAAGAGCAGGAATTAACAAGATAAAAGATAACAATATACTTTGTATTTAAATTTTTCAAAATCAAAGTTGACTAGAAAGTAAGAAGCCGGAAGAGAGTTTCATTAGCGAGAAGCGTGAGAAAAGAAACTATTAGCATAGAACTTGCGGTTGCATTTAACCATTTCGACCGTAAAATGATGAGACCTAGAAGGCAATCTAATACTGCGATTATTTTAAATTTGCTTACTTAATAAAATTTGAATATTTTGAGGCGAAAAGGTTATTAAATTTTTGGAGCCGCGTTTTGTTCAATGGTGATTCACTTGTGGTGGCTTTTCATGCTCAACACGAAAAATATATTTAATCAAATTTAAATATTTTAAATTGTATATACACATACATGCATGCATGTACTATGTGTATGCATGTGCACATATACGTATTTATTTCTCTCTACACGGAAGGCGAAAAAGAGATTATAAATATCTGCTTGTCAATACTCAGCTAAGCATGAATAATAATAATAATAATAATAATATTAATAATAATAATAATAATAATCCCTGTTGTAGTTGGAGCCCTAGGACTGGTTGGAAAAGATTGCAGTAGACTAATTGAGGGGATTGAAGGGATTCCTGGAAGTCCATGCCTCAAGGAGATACAAAAAATTGTTCTGACAAGTACAGCCCACACTTTACGAAGGGCTTTATCTATGTATTTTTTTTTTTTTTTTGTCAGTAGAAAGTGTCATGATGCCATTTCTAACCTTAGGTCCCTGGGCGGGACCCAGAAAGAAATGTGTAAACGCCAGAAATCAAAGAAAATAATAATAATAATAATAATAATAATAATAATAATAATAAATAAGTACTGAAGTAAGTTAATTTCTGTGCAATTGTCACTCTAATATTAAAAGTATTAGCAAGCAATTCATTTCACTTTTTACTATTTCTTTTTTCTTTCTTACTTCTGTTTTTTTTTTTTCTAAAAAAATATGACCTGACCTAGCTGAGTATTGAATACAACTATCACGACTGACACTGTCGAGTTCAGTGTTGTGCCAGACCCCACATCACAACAAAAATGTAGGTGATTTTGACTTTCTTGAGTTTCCTTTTATTAGAAGCTAATGAAGTGGTTAGTCGTTTCCTTCTCCACGGTGTAGAATTCAGAATTGTCTTTTTCTGCCAGCCAATCTAGATAGTTGCTATTTAGCTGGAGCGTTTGGTGGGGTGTAGAACATTTACGCGAAAGTAAACGCAAGGAACTAAGCTGGAATTTGAACTCGACCCACCTATTGCAATTTCCGCGCAAATATATCCGAAATGCGACATGCACATCCAACAATGGTATTCCTAATTCTGAAATATTTTTAACTTTTTGAGAAAAAATTTGACTGTATAGCGGTGTTTTAGAAAACGACGTCTGCTGCTCGCATTCGAAAAATATGTTCTTCCTACCCTGGGGATAAAAGAAAAAAGTTCGCCATTAGTTTCCATCTTTTCAATATGTAGACAAAACTGTTATATAAGAAATACCTATTTGGGCAAGTAATAAGATTCACTGATGACTGGTACATCTGAACGGCTAAAGTTCTATAATAAAAACATAGCACCGTCGGGGAAGTAATTGAATCTACTCTCTCGACGTTATTTTCGTCATAAACAAACGGGAAATCTGATCAGCATTCAAGGCAGAAATTTACTCAGCCATTTAACGCATAAAAAGCCATCGTAAAATAAAATAAAATTTATCTCGATATTTTATCATCATTTACCTGGCAACTGAAAAAAAAAAGCGATCCGTCTTCATTAAGATGTTCGAGAACATTCTTCATAGTTTATCATTTTTATTCAGACAGGGTTTTATAGTTTTTTTCACACACACACACACACACACACACACACACACACACACACACACACACACACACACACACACTCGCTCCACACGCACACACACACATATATATATGTGAAAAGTGATTTTGAATATATATATATATATATATATATATATATATATATATATATATATTTTTTAAGACATGTTTATGTTTATATATTCTTTTTATAGATACAAATATTTAAGTAAATGCTCATCCCTGAAAATGGATAAATGTTTAGCCGAAAGCGCTAAAAATAAAGAAAATTCGGACAATTTATATATACTAGAGCCGTTGGTGTCTGCTGGATTCTAAAACAGCCCACTCCAAGATTTACACACATTTTTGTCTTTCAGTCCGACCTGAATAAGCCGAAACCAATATACGCGTAATTTATAATCTTTTTCACTTTGTCTCATTACACACGCAACATACACAACACACACACAGACTCGCACACACAGACACGCACACACACGCATATATATCTACAATGATAGTAAATGTTCACTTCATGTATATAAAAGGTGAAGAAAAGATATATTTTTGATGTTACATAAAAAATATTAATGTCAGCAGTTTTATCAAGCAAGGAACCATGCAGCATGATCCTTTTCGCCATTTTGTCATTCAATTACCTAATTTAGTCTCATATATCCATTTGTATATGAAGGTTGAGATATATAGATATCTTTATATGTTGGAATATTTACTTATGTGTGTATATATGTTTATGTACGTACGTACACAGTGGAAAGAAGTTGTATATATATATATATATATATATATATATATATATATATATATATGTGTGTGTGTGTTTGTGTGTGTGTGCATGTACGTACGTACACAGAGGAAAAGTTGTATATATATATATATATATATATATATATATATATGTGTGTGTGTGTGTGTGTGTGTGTGTGTGTGTATGTGCATGTACTTACGTACACAGCGGAAAAGAAGTTGTATATATATATATATATATATATATGTGTGTGTGTGTGTGTGTGTGTGTGTGTGTGCATGTACATATATATATATATATATATATATATATATATATATATTCTTTCGGTGTGTACGTACATACATACACATATATACACACATACGTAAATATTCCGACATACGAAGATATATATATATATATATATATATATATATATATATATGTGTGTGTGTGTGTGTGTGTGTGTGTGTGTGTGTGTGTACAAATGTTACTGCATGAATATGTGTGTGAATTTCAGAATATGTATGTGTGTACATGTGGGAATGTTAATGTATGTGCGCATACATATATGTGTGTATAAACATCGTAAAGAAATTGGAAATATATAAAGATGTATGTGAGAATGTTAACGTAGTTGCCTACGCCTGTGTGTGTTGAAGAGAACCTCGGGAAATGTGTGTAATATATATGTGTGTGCATGTGGGAGTGTTAACGTTTGTGTGCATATGCTTATATAAGCAATTGAGAAATATACAGATATGTGTATGTATACGAGGAGACGCTGTAATGTCTTCTGCTCCAACCGCACCCTAAAATCTGTATTCTGATGTTTGGTTATTAAAATCCTGATTTAGAGAAGTAGGTCGAATCGAGAACTGTTCAACAGTTCCTCGCATGCATATTTTTATATGCGGTTGCATGAAAGAAGCGGTAATATCTGAGTTTGTGTATCTCTGTGTGTGCGTGTGTGATGTGTGGAATAGATAGATTATTTTTGTATATGCGTGTATAGAAATGTAAAGGAGGAAATAAAACGAAAGAAGACAATTGTAAAATAAAAAAAGAAACATTCAGCTAAAGTAACAAAGGAAAAAGATGAATTGAAAAATCTAAAGAAAAGAAAATGCATCTGAAAAGATTTAGGAAAGTAATAAAATATAGCGTAAAACTGCATAACAAAAACCAAAAACTAGAAATGCTAAAAAATAATAAGAAAAGGAAAAACCTTAAGAGATGAAGAAATGAAAACAAGTAAAGAAATAAAGAAAAAATGAAAGAAATGAGAAAAGGAAGGAAAAAAAAAAAACGTGAAAAGGAAGGAAAAAAGAAATTGAGAAAATGAAAAAAGAAATCGAGAAAAAGAAGGAAAACAAGATAATGAAAAATAAGGAACGAAAAAGAAAATGAAAAAGAAATGCAAGAAAAGAATGGGAAAAGGGAGAAAAAGAAGTAAGAAAATGAAAGAAGGAAAGAAAAAATAAGAAAAGGGAAGAAAGAAGAAAACGAGAAAAGATAGGAAATAAAGATATTAAAAAATGAAAAAAAGGAAAGAAAGGAAAGAAAAAAAATGACAGAATGGGAAAACTGAAAATGAGAAAGGGAAGGAAAGAAAGAGAAAATGAGAAAAAGAAGGAAAGATATTGAAAAATGATAAAAGGAAAGAAGAAGAAAAAAAAGAAAAGAAAAAATGAGTAAAAGAAGGAAAGAAGAAAAGGAAGGAAAGAAAGAAGAAAATGAGAAAAGAAAAAAGAAGAAAATGAGGAAACAAAAGAAAGAAAAACAAGAGAAAAGAAAGAAAATCAGAAATGGAAGGAAACAGAAGAAAATAAGAAAAGCAAACTAAAAAAAAGATAATGAGAAAAATTAAAGGAAAATAAAGAGAAATAAAAGCAAGGGAAAATCACAAAAGGAAAACCAAGGAAGAAAGGGGGCAATTAGAAAATGGAGAGAAATGAGAAAAAAGAAAAAGAAAATGAGAAAAATGAAAGAAAGAGAATAAAGAGAGAAAAAAAACGAGAAAAATGACAGAAAGAAAAAAGAAAGAAAGAAGATGGTAAAACATAGAAACGAAAAAATGCGAAAAATAGAAAAAGAAAAATATAATAAGAAAACAAAATAAAAACATGCAATAAGGAAGTCAACCAAAAAGAATAAAAAAAACGAGGAAGAAGCGGAAAATATGAACGAAACTTTAAAGAAAGAGAACAAAAATAAAGTAACTCGAAAGTTGATGAGAAGCAAAAAGAAAACAAAGTGAAAGAAAAAAACAGAGAATTATAGAAAATTCCTAAGTTAAAAGAAGAAAAGGAAAATTAAAGAAAAAAGAAAAGATGAAAAGAAAAGGAGATGAGCAAAAGTAAAGCAAAAAGAAAAAAAAAAGAATAAAAATAAGAATAAAAAAAGGGGGAAAAAGATTGACTATTGCCAGAATAATTTTGTGTGCACTTCCACAACAGTTGGCTGTCTTCCGGTACCGGAAGTAACTGGTTGCCATGTTGGATCAAGGAAATACGGATACATTTGATAATACGATTACAGAATGTCGGAAGATGAAGTTTTCGTATCAGCGTGAGGAAATAGAACAGGTGGATACTTTACCAAACGAAAAGACTCTGTAGTAAATTAAATGGAAATGAAAATATATTGCTAGAAAAGTTATATAAACTCTGCACAAATGGAACGTTCTAATGCTAAATAAGAGACGGTGGAATAAATATGCAAAACCCTGGCAATAAAATGCCTATTAAACGTCGACTGAAATCGTGAGAGAAAACGTGCAGCAATTTTAGCCACAAAATGTTTTTTAAAGATAAAAATACGCTTAATATCAAAATCTGATTATCCTAGATTTCATGTAGTTTTGTGGAATTTTCTTCTTAAATTTTCTGTTCTTACAGTAGTAATGATGGCTAAGGAATATTTTGTAAAGCATGAAATTCCACCCGAATTGTCTGATACCAAAACGAAAGGATACAGCTCGGGTGTTAAAGTCGCATATCAGAGAAAGGGAAAGTGGCATTGTTGTTGACTAAAATATAGTGGTAATTAAGCAGAATTGAGTTTTGAATGCGATTTCCAGTAGGTAAGAATGTTGGATAGAACTTAAGCCCACTAATCAACGGAAAAGCAATTAGAATCTATCAGAAAGAGCAATACACATGCAGAAGGACGTGCACCTATGTTTTATAGACTAAGCAAAGCTCAGCTACTTTGATATATTTGCGAAAGAAACGGTCTGCATACGGATAGAAAATGAGTTCAGCAGATATACAAAATAAAAAAGGCGTAAGGCAAGGATGTGTCTTCTCACCGGACTTATTCAACATATACAGCGAGGCAATTCTGAAAGAACTGGAAATCTTATCAGGATTCATTAGTCGCGGCCACAATCATAACAACATAAGATATGCAGATGACACAGTGCTGATAGCAGACAGGGAAATGAAATTACAAAACCTCCTACAGAAGGGAGCGAGAAGCGTAGAGATAGAGAAGGGACTAAGCACAAACTACAAGAAAGAAATGCATGGTTATCAGTAAAGAGATGAGCCCAAAATCGAATTTACTGGTTAGGGACACTAAAATTTGAATGTCTGGGAAGTGTTTTGACAGAGGACGGTAAGTGCGACGCTGAGATCCGAAGATATATTGGGATGGCCAAAGACGCATTGAAAAAATCTGGGAGAGTATTACGAAACTGGAGGATTTCGTTGATAACAAAGAAAAGAGTACTGAACTACTATGAGATATCTGCCCTCCTTTACGGCAGCAAAATTTAGACAGTCAAGATAATGACCCGAGGTATGGTTCTACAGAAGGTTGCTAAGGATACCATGGATGCAGGTTCGAATCCTACCGGAGGGTGCATGTTTTTTTAACAAGATTTCTCGAATATTCGGTAGATATAAATAAATATACTGTTTAATAAATAAAAACAGAGCATCTACTCAAATATCAGTATCCGTTTAAAATAACATTTGAATATATATATATATATATATATATATATATATATATATATATATATATATATATATATATATATATATATACTACTACTATTCTACCATGCCTCCTATATATATATATCGAAATGAGGAACCGGAGAGCCGTGTTCGAATTCCAGTCGAATCCATTACATTCACTTACGTGCTAATACCCTTGGGAAAGTTATCAATCCTCTTCTTCTCCCTCGAGCTATTAGAAAATAGACTGGATTCTATAGCCTTGGATGGCAACTGGTCTAGGGAAAGGACAACTGAGTGAGTAAATTGTTTGGGGACCTTGTGGCACGTAGTGCATCAGGTCTTCTGTATTTGGCGTGTGGTTGGTTCTGCACAAAGCTTTTACCACTATAATCAAATCATATGCGCTGGTATCTGATATGTCGGTTCTTAGGAACTGCTTGACCCTCATATACAACGGGAGAGTCCACCATATATATTATTTGGGGTAAAGAAGTGTGAAAAGAGGAAATGTTTTCATGTGACGCGTTTCGTTTTTTTTCATGCGCTCGAACGAAAGAGAGACGCTTTTAAATTTAAGATGATTTTTTTAATATGTGTTTTAGGTGTATAATCTAACCCATGTCATTTAGATTCTTCTTTTTGTTCATGTTTCTATATCACCTTTGTTATTAAATATTGTAATAAAATTTGTCAAGAATGGTGAAACGTTGTAAGAACCTTGGACGCAAATTTATTGTAGTTGATTTAGCGGTTAAAGCATTTCTAGTCATTTTCGTCTTAGGAAATTGTTTTTTCTTTTAATTAGTGTAGCATTTTAAAAATCAAAATGGTGGACAGTGTCGTTACGTTAATGTGTGATTTTGTAAAAGATCCCTTTTTTTTCATATAATATTTTATTTTAATTCTTTAAGGTTTCTTTGGTGTATTCATTGTGGAAATTATTGAACTCCTTCAAGTTTTAGCTTATTATTTTCTTTTGTATTAATTAAGTCTTATTCTTTTACACGTTGTTGTGACAAATTTTATGTTGAATTTAGATCAATTCTTTTCAATTGTAGTTGGGATAGAATTGAATGGTTGAACAATATATTTTGATTCGTTGGGTTTATAAGGAAGGGACACTTTTTATTTTGAAATATTTTATGGGCCTTTTTGCATGGCATTGAATATGAAGTAGTTAAAGCATTGGAGAAGCTTGAAAGCATTTTCGATGTATATCTCCTCCTCAAGTAAATACTGAGGGATGCAAATTCTGAGTGCTCTTAAGTAGAATCCGATGATTATTCCGAATTTTATTATGTTGTAAAAGAACTTTAGCTTAGAGACACTTAAATGCACTAAGGAAACTAGCAAAAAATAAGGAAATCCACTTCACCTTCAAGAGAAGTGGAACGGTTATTATGAATACGAACCCATATAATGATAAAATTAATCTACTATTTAACAATACCAACACATATGAAAAAATAAATAGACAAAAAATAATTACTGAAATACAAAAATTAATAAAAACAAATCATGATATAGACTAATAGAATATCACCCTAGAATACCAACACTTTATGGTCTCTCTAGAAGAGAATTTGAAGAAGGAACATGAAGGAGCAGAAATGCGGTTCTACAGAAGAATGCTGAGAATACCATGGAACGAATATGTAAGCAACGAGGTAGTTCTAGAGACAATAACAACATAAAGGATATTTATGCTTAAAGATATTAAAATTTCTGAGGAACATAATGATGAAAGATAGCTTGAAAAAATTCATACTCACAGGATAGATTGAAGGTCAGAGGTCCAGAGGAAAGCAACTCATTACCTACCTGGAGAACTTGAGCGAATGGATGACGGAGCAGATTTTGGGAGCGATGGCAAAAGCCCAAAAGATAATAAGATCTATAAAGGACAGGAAATTGTGGAGAGCCATGATCGTCAATGTCGTGAAGGGACACTGCACATAAAAGAAGAAAACGCACAAAGCAGACATCCCAATGCGTCCCATTATTTCACGTATTTTCACGTACACACCCACACACACAGAAAAAAAAAGTTGTTCGTAAAACAAACTGACAATACAAGAGCAAGTACTACCATTGTACTCAAGTTTTCGGAAAAAACTATCGAAAATTTTTTTATGTAACTGAGTTGAACTCGGGCATAAAATTATTCTCCCCTCAAATTCACTGAGGTGAGTTTTCTCTTTTTGTACCTTTCTAAAAAGAAAAAAAAATACATAAGTGTGGTGTAAAATTATTCAATTACGTTAAAATTAACTGAACCACGGGAAAAAAAGCTAAACACATATAATTGGTTTAGTTTAACTAATTGTCTGTCTTTTTTTTTCTTTTACAGAAAAAAAAGGAACAAAAATCTATCAAGATTTTTTTGTGTACCTCCTCTTAGTACACGTGTTTCAAAGCAAAAAAAAAATCACTGTCATTTTTGTCTGTTTAAATATGGAAGATTTTCAAAAAGTAGTTGCTCAAATGTTAAAACTAAATTTGGATCAGCAACAAAAATCAGAAGAAAGACAACAACAACTATTTTTGGAATTACATAAACAACAAAGGGAATTTTGCAGGCGCTACGAAGATATTTTCAACGTAGACTGTGAACAATGGCCCAGTAAAAAAAAAGGTACGTCTTCTATTGAGAAAACTGGGAACTACAGAACATAGTAGGTTCATAGACTTCATACTACCCAAGAAAACGACTGACTTGGATTTTTCAGAGACTATTAAGCTCCTATCTGAACTATTCGGGCCTAACACAACCTTGTTCCACAAACGCTGGAAATGTCTGAACACAGTCAAAAACAAACAGCAAGATTTTCTAACGTTTGCAGCATCGGTAAACAAGCTCTGTAATGATTTTAAACTAGCCGAACTGACTGCAGATGATTTCAAGTGCTTAGTTTTCGCACAACGTCTAGTATCAGCAGAAGACGCCGAAGTCAGACGACGGGTCCTGACCAAGCTTGAGAACGAACAAGGATTGACTCTCCAAAAACTGGCAGAGGACTGTCAAAGAGTAAAGTGTGACTCAAACACTATCGAGGAATCAGGTGTGACTCAGATTAATAAAATCAGAAGTAAGTCTACCTGCTACTCCCCTCGAAAAGACTAAAGGCAAATCTCATGTCCTAAATTACGCAGTAAC